GACCGTGAGGTCGGTTTGAAACGCCGGTCGAATCTCCCACGCGCGTCATGCCCCACGAACTATTCCATCACTCGCGCTTCCGATTCGGCTGCTTCGCAACCATCCCATGCTCGCAAGCACAAGGTTCACACACCGACGAATGTTGAAGAGCGCAGGCTCAGTTTGATCAACCAACCAACTCTTAGCACTAACAACATCCCTAGCACGCTTCTTCGGTTGTCTGCTGTGTCTGTGTCTATGCGAATATTCATGGGCGCGCACGTTGTGTGTGACCAGCTTATTGACACAACCGCCTACATAACTCTCCTAACACTACCAACTTCACGCTCGCGTTTTCTTCCGGTGTCTGCTGTGTCTGTCAGCGAATATTCATTGAGCGCGCACATTGTGTGTGACCAGCTTATTGACACAACCGCCTTCGCGCTTTCTTCCGGTGTCTGCTGTGTCTGTCAGCGAATATTCATTGAGCGCGCACATTGTGTGTGACCAGCTTATTGACACAACCGCCTACATAACTCTCCTAACACTACCAACTTCACGCTCGCGTTTTCTTCCGGTGTCTGCTGTGTCTGTCAGCGAATATTCATTGAGCGCGCACATTGTGTGTGACCAGCTTATTGACACAACCCATGCGCTTGCCCGCTGCTTACCGTTTGTTTTGCTCGAGTACCCTCCCACGCACTGCGCGTGTGTGTCCAATCATGTGGCACGCGTAGTCCGTTTTCAATCCTGCAAAAATAGCATGCTATCGTCCAGTTGTTTTCAAGTAGTTGTGAGTGTATCGGGTACTCCACGCCATGGCATGGGCGGGAGTTTCTCCTACGTTCGAAGTACGTCGCGGGAGTACCATATATTGCTGCAAACACCCTCTGGATGTCTTCAGCAAGGGGGGATCTCCCGCGGCGTAATATCACTTCTCCGACACCGTGAATTATTGCCTTCCGAGGGGGGGAGGTTATGATGAGTCTCGTTGGACAAGGAACAGCAGCTTAGCCTTGGTGCGAGAAGATCAGCAACAACAGCCACCGCCACACGAAGCGAAGTACCCAAGAAAATGTCGCGTGTTAATAAGTAACCAGTTTGCTGTAGATATCAAGTATTTGCTTCTTGCTCCATCAAGACCTCTTGTTCCTCGTGCCGAGAGCCGTAGAACCGCCACGACGTTAAACGTTTGTTGCGTGGTTTCGCATCAACCATATCAATAGAATGGACCGAACAGGCAATCTTCGCCTCTCCACCAGGTTGTCGCCGAGTGCATTCATCTTTCGACTCTTTGATGTGGGAGTGTAAAGCTATTCCCCAAACTAGTGTAGAATGGCGATTGGATGCCTACATTGCGCGTGACATCTGCCCTACCCGCAACTAGCTTCCCAGCCGCACCACCGCGTGTGCCGTCGTCCGCCCGTGAAACTCGGAGTGCCTCCCTTTAGGTTTCACCTTCCAGAGACTAAAGCAGAAGGCTGAAGCTTCAGGGACAAGAGTTGTCGAGACCGTTACTGACAGGTGCGCGGGAGCAACCAGAACTGGAGACATGGCGCGGCAGGAGCTATAACGTTGTCTTCACTGGAGACCGTCTTCGTCGCACCCCAGGACTCATTTGTTGCGTTGATGTCATGGTGGGGGGAAGGAGTTTTCCCGTCGTTCGCATGCTTATTCGCATCGTTGATGTCATGGTGGGGGGAAGCAGTTTTCTGGTGTTGTTATTTGGATGGTGAAGTCTGGGTGTCTCTGGTGAATTCGGTGCTATCGGAGGATGAGGTTTCTTGAGGTTCAGTCGTGATGATGGGGTTCACTTTTTTGAGCCTATGTCTTTGCTCCTACTCGGTAGGCGGTACCGAGTCGATGTTTGATTGGTGCGTCCACTGTGTGTAAGCGTGCATGCGTGGACTTGGTAGGTCCTGTAGGACTTGGTCGCAATCGCTGTCATGATTGTGATAACACTTATAGCCAGTGGCGGTATGTCGGTCTATTCCACTGGCATGGAGAGCGATCTCCATGCCAACGACTTCACGAGAGGGTTTTGTCGAAAGTTTGTCCCTCAGAGAAAAGAGAGAGACGAGATGGCGGCGTGAAGTATCGGGTGGATAGTTCCCTTTCGAGGCATATCGGTTGATGGAGAACCTCGCAGTTCTACCATTCCTCTGGTTACAAGTACCGGATGAGGCGTTAGTATATTATGAGTTGATAATATACTAGGGGGGATGTTACGGTTCGGGGCATTCATTGTCCCGCAAGTACAACCCCACAGAGGTAGTTGGCCGCATTCAGCGGAGCCTCTGCAAGAGCTGTCTGGACTCGCCCTCCTCTGCTCACAACCAAGCTACCATCCTGAGCTTGAACTAAAAGAATAAGACCATAACATCCACAAGGAGGCCTTTGCTCCGACACTACATCGGCTACTACAGCTGGTACGAGTATCTTCACTACTCATCGCACTCGGTACAGTCGTTCGATTGCACAAGAAGAGGTCAGTGTGTGTGCATCGTTGCATGAGCGAACACCTGTCAGGAGCAATAATCCCCTTCCTCGCACCATAAACCGTGCCGTGAACGGGAGCTGTTACGTACTTACTGCTTACACACTTGAGACCTCTACCCTGCGTGCTAGCGACTCGTGACACTTTATCTGCTGCGGCAAGCGCTTCGGACCACGCGTACGCTTGTGCCGCTGCTTCTGCCGCTGCTTCTTCTGCTGCTTTTGCTGCTGCTGCTGCTGCTTGTGCTGCTTTTGCTGGTGCTACTGCTTGTGCTTCTTCTTGTTGCGCTGCGGCGGCTGATGCTGCGTTTCTTGCGAGTGCTTCTTTTGCTTCTGCTTCAGCTTTTTGAAGCATAGACTATGTTTTCGTTGTTTTCGTAGGATTTCCTTTCGCGCATGGTCTGCTGCTTGCCTTTCTCTTTTTTCCAATTCCTTTTTCTCATCTTCGACTTGCTTAGCGCGTTCCTCTGCTCTTGGTCGTTGTTTCACTGCTGCTGCTTTCGCTTCTATATTTCGTTCCACTGCTTGCCTCTCTGCTTCTTTCGCTTGCTCTGTCGCCGAAGGTGTACTCGGACGTATCGAGTTCATGATAACTTTACTCGTTCGCACGTACCTCTTGTTGAAGTACTCTCCTTGAGCTTTGAGAGCATTTATTGCGATTTGCAGCACAGTCGCCAGGCTTATCAGTTCGTAGTAGCCCAGGCCTTTTTCAAGACCGTCCTCGAAATCTCGCAGCGCTTTCTTCGCATCGTGCAATGCAATCTCATCATCGGTCAACGGTTTATCCGTATACACCATGCGCATGTTGTGCACGGGTGGAAGCATGGGGTCTGCATGCTACAGCCCGCTTCGAGACATTAGTCTCTTCGTGAGCGAGTCCATCTGAATGATTTGTGTTTAACATTGTGCACATATTAAACAACTCTAGATGTGCCATTCGTGCGATCCAAATGTTCTTGTTCCGAGAGACTGGTGTACGAGCGACAGGTGGCTGCCGTAATCTACTGCGAAAGTACACATGTATGCTGCACTGCTGTACAGGCACATGGCTACTACATACTGCTGTACTGCTGTATGGAAGGTAAATTCACAGTCCACGCACTACTACATACGCTGTACTGCTGTAAATAAACAGGTCGCTGCCTGTCCAACCGACTCCAGCTTCTCCTTGCATGTCTCGAACACGTCAATATCTCTCAGGACCAAGGCTCTCTTGGCCAATACTATGCTCGTTGTAGCCTCAATCGAAATGTAGACTCTCTTCTCCGCAGCCGTCGCATATTCGAACCAGGCTGGCATGGCGGCCCGCTGTTCGCTTGGCGGCTCTTGTCAGGTGAATGTTTTGAGTTTGGGTGTGGGCACATGATGGAGTTGCAAGGTGTTGTTGATGTTGGCGCTTTTGTGAACAAGTGTTCTGGTGGTTGGTGTTGGCTGTGGTTTGTCGGGTTTCATGATTCGTTGTTATCTGGATATATAGTCTAATGAATGTATTATTGGTAAACAACACTGTGCCCATGCACAACCATAGCTACCCACTTGGTCTAGAATGGTTACCGATGCTTATGTTGTATTCTAATATCGGGAAAAAGAATACTTCTCATGATGAACAATGTGAACTTGGCGAACAGCTACGGAAACTCGACGGTAAGCACGAACGTGTCATAGAGAATATCAACAACAACATCGACTCTTTGATACAAAATAGAGACTTGAAGCTATCTAAGGATGACATGGAGGATCTCAAAAGCAGAATCGTTCTGAAGCTCGGTGAGGTTGCTTCAAATAGAGGATGTGAGTTGGGTCCTGTCGTCTGCACTTCTCAAACAATTGAGTTTGACGAAGCTGCCAAGCAAGTGCTACGCGACGTGGTGAGAAAAGAGATAGAAGGTGTGCGACCCGCTTCTGGAAACGATACTGCTATCCATGATGTCAAACTGGAACTAGCTACCTTGTCGCAAACAACATCGAATGGATTTCATGAGTTGCGGCAACTGCTCACCCCCAGTGACACTCATGGACTAGAGATAATTCCAGTACCGGAACCAGTACCGGAACCAGCACCGGAAGGGTATGATCCGTCGTTATACTCATCGGGGATTGAGAATGTCATAGGACTGTTTGAAACAGAGGAGTCGCAGTTGGATATCGAGACTCTAAATGATTTGACTGTATACCGAATTGTTAAATCGTTCTCTGAGTAGACTATAGAAGACGTGCCACTAGACTCGACAACGAAGTCATCGAGATCAAAACTATCCGAGAACTGGTGCTTAAACGAGTAGATTTGCTGGTGGAAAGGTGGGAGAAGCAGCTAGAGGCTAAACGATCACAAGAGGAACAAATCACTGGCATTGGTCGCCTTTGGAGAAGTAAAAAACCACCACCGCAGACAGTGGCGAAAGAAAGAGGAGAAGCTCTTACCAAAGAGATGGAAAGCAAGATACAGCAGGTGACTGACCGAGTTCCTACCGAACTGCTACCCATAGATATCCTCCGATACTTTCATAGCATGATTAATTTGTGGACTAAGTTGAACCCAATCTAGAAATAGGATTTCTTCTTCTCGCAGGTCGACTTTTCCAATTATTTTCGACAGGGTGCCCCGTGGTACGTGCAGCATTTCTCGCGGATCGTATGTCATCCGGCAATGGCACATATTCATTGCTCTCTTTTCCACTAAATGGGCGCATGATCCAACTCGCGACCTTTTTGGGAAATTCAGAAGTAGTTGCTAATAGAGCCCCATAGAAGGATTCTGTAGCATATGTGACATCAACCCATACGACCAAGTGGACGGCTTCCAACGGCAGAACCATAGTGAGTCCCGAAATACCCACAAGGAGATGTAACATGTTCGCCACGGATTTTTTCTGTGTACCGTTGTAATGTCCTGGTATGAAGTTGAATATAATTCTACAGATCAGACAGATCACAGCGTACATGAGGAGGTGCCAACTAACAACATGCTCGTGTCTGTAAAAGAAACGCTCTCCCCGTACAGCGCCCATGATGCTTCTCCCACCTTGAACTTCCATACAAAGCGAGACATCGTGGGCGAACCTTATGGTGTCTGCGACTCGCATACCATGCACGTCTTCAACGTGATCCTTTAAAATTACCCTTGAAAAGTTCTCAAAGTAACTTTTCCGATCCGCGAAGCTTTTAATCGAGTCACCAACATCCATAAAGAACTTCCAAATAAAGCTCCCAATCCCAAGAGGAAACCGATCGGAGCTACCATGCTGCGCCTTTCTCGCATGATAAGCAAGAAAAATGTCAGGATAGGTTCCGTTCTCCACTATCAATGCAGCACACGTGACAGCAGCCCTCGCCATTTTATTCCGATTTCTATCGTTCGAATCTCGAGCCTGTTCGAACGCTTTCCACCCATCTACGTTGTCCCCTGCAACTTCATCGATTGAAGATGCTAGTTTGGGTGTCGCCAGATCGTGTAGATGTGCGAGAGCTGTGTTTGCGAGTAGAGTAGTGGTATGGATGGTGTCTGTTGCCAGACAAGTGCCTTCTTCACTGGAACATACAGTGTATTCCCGTCGTATGCCATGGAGTGTATCCAATTGTTTCAACAAAGTGTCCAGCGCGCTCTGACCCTTCTCGCTGGCGAGGCGTTCCCTGTGATTGATCAGGTCGGCGAACAGATCGCTTATTCGACCGAACAAACCACTACCCTTCGTCGTGGCTAGGGATTCAAAAACCGCTATTGTGACATTTTTACGGTGGAATAAATTATCAGAGTTCCCGAATACAACGTGACACAAATCGACGCCATTCTTCTGAATAACCGATTCGGGTGATTCCTTGAAATCGACAACTTTGCCGAGTTTCGCAAGGTCTTCCGTTTCTCGCTGCACGTTTTCATGCGTCTCCACAACAGAGGCCGGTGCATCACCCAGGTACGAGACATCAATCGAGTCATCACCGACAAAATGGAGGTGTCCTCTACTGGCTTTTTCAATGAGCAAATCCGGGCTGAGTACCATGGCAACTTTATTTCCCGACTCCCGCCCAAGAATAAATTCTATGTTGTCGATTTCTACTCTTGAGGTGTAGTCTTTTACAGTGTAAATCACTGCGGTAGTGCTAAAGGTAGCATCACCTTTGACAGAACCCTCTAAGGCAATGTCCATGGGAAAACGCTCAAGAATATGCGAACGCACTAGCCCAACCAATGAGTCCAGGTTTTTGTTTGATCTCACGTCTTCAAGAACCGCACTCATAAATTCATTTATCTTCTCGATGACTTCCGGGGTATATTCCAATTCCACGCCGTCCATCAATGCGTACTGAAACCGAAACGGGGTGGACGAATCATGGTATATCTCCGCGTATATGAAAATACCGTTAGCCTTCAGTATGCTGGATACTATATCCCATGTCGTCGCCCACGAAACATCCTTGCCAAGTGTGGCGAGCATAGCTAAATCACGTCTACCGTCGTCAAACTCTCTTACCTCTGGCTTACCAGTGTGCATTTTGATCGACATGCGTGGGTACCGAGCCTCTAGATTTTTCCCTACCTCGAACAACTCTTGATTTGTGCGACTGCCCGGATCCAAGAAATACTCAATATCGTTGGTTCCTGGTGCAGCCAATTGTTGCAGAAAGGGTGCCGATGAAAGCCATTTTCTTACGCTGGCAGAGGAGAGATCATCGGGAGACACATGTACACTAGTTTCAAACCGAGGCAAACACACTTTCACAATGAGTTGCCATGTGAAATCGATAAATTCCTGTGTCGTTTCGACAAGGTGAACCCTTTCCGATTGGTCTTTGTATATCGGGTACTTGATTGTGTGCATGATATGGGCGTCGGCGATGACTTCAATAAAATCGGGTGGTATTATATCCGGAGAAATTGTTGCAAACGACTTCCAATTATGGGAAAGAAAAACTTTGACAGCCAATTTATTAAACAAAATCTGCGCATTGAATACATCCTTATCGCTTTCGTTGGGTTCTGGAAAAACCGTGGACCCTAGTCCAATGTCTGGTTTCTTGAGCTCGCGTCGGAAATAGTCGAGAGTGACGTCGGTCATACGCTCCTTCGCGTTTCGCCCCAGACTCTCATTCAATTCATCCATAGCGTTCTTTACAACATCTAAATATAATAAAAACGCTTTTTTGCAAATCTGACAACGTGTTACAAGCGCCACATCATTCAACGTCACTTGATATACCTGTTCAAGTAAGTTCGCATGTGAGTGCTGAATTTTTCAGCCACTGCCGGGAACGAACCAACGAAATAATTCAGTTCCGACGACGCTAATTTCTTAACGTACCGGGCGAGAGGGCCACGCCTTACAAAAAACTATTATTATACCAATTCCAATACATACAACTGATGGTTCTCTACATTACAGAATCCAAAGATCTGACCGCCATCGTCCTGTCCTACATCATCTATGATTCCGTTGCTGGATCCTTCTAAATATGGACATCCAGGGGTAGGCCCCAAAGGCCTTCTACTCCTTCCGGGCGCTATATTTTGTGGGTAAATGTTTTCAACCCACGACAGAGTCAACCCATTCTCCATGCAGCTCTTGATAGGAATGTTTTTAAGAATCAACGCTGGCGGCCGCGGCGTTTGTTTTATGTGCCACATTCGCCCCCATTCTTGACGGTTGTTGCGTGCGGCTGGAACCGAAGCCTCGCGGCCTTTTACTGTTCGCCGCAGCCGCCGGGGCACACACGATACGAATCGCGCTGAACCCTAAAGCATTACGACCATGTGAACAAACGAAACTGATAAGCTGCTGCAGCTACTGTACATGCACGTGGCTACTATATACTGCTGTGGCTGCCGTAGTCTACTGCGTAGGTACACAGGTAGCTGCACTGCTGTACAGGCACATGGCTACTACATACTGCTGTGGCTGCCGTAGTCTACTGCGTAGGTGCACAGGTATGCTGCACTGCTGTACATACTGCTGTACTACTGTATGGAAGGTAAATTCGCAGTCTAAATTTACGCACGACGACATACTCCTTGTAGCTTAGTTGCTGAAAGCTACTTGGCAGCACTCCGTACTCAGTACACCTTATGTGCGAAGGAAGGAGAAATGACTGCTGTGACACATACACACACACGCACGCACACACACACACACACACACACACACACACACACACACACACACACA